AAAAGAGAGACATAAATAAGGCAATGTAAATAGTCAAAGGGTCTGGGATGAAGACGTTGACTCTCGGCTTCTAACATGGATAACCTTTCTGCTTTTTTTCGCTCTCCTCATAGGTTCATCAAGATGTCCAGTCCTAACATCAACAATGCAATTATTGTTGGTTGTATCTTATCCTACATTTCTGTTGTCTTATTCGCCATCGATGGAGAACGTCTTACCAGCTTTACTTGCAACGTAAAGAGCATTTTGAAATGATCCACTGAATTCTGATAAAACAGTCTCTATTTCAACACTTCATCAACTACTAGTTTTGAGCTTATTTTTTATGTCTGGTACTATTTCCAGGCCAAAGTAATAACCTTGGACATCGGTTTCACAGTAGCTTTTGGTTCAATGTTCTCAAAGACATGGCGTGTTCACAGAATCACAAGGAAGATAAGAGTGCAAAGACGGGTAACCAATGCATTACCGTGATTTTCTTCAGATTAGTGGATATCAATTCTCTTGTGTTTGAATAAAGCTTCTCTAGACATAGATGGCCTTGCTTAGTTTTAACGGAAGATTGCTGCTTTGTTTGCTCAGAAATGTTCGCTTGACCCCTAAACTAAGCTAGTTTGTCTGTCTTAGTCTGTATGCCAGACAAAAAAGGCCACAGAATCGTTCCATATCCTGATTTTTCATTGCATGAATTGTGTGAGAAAAATATCTGGATGGGATCATTGAATTTTGCAAGCTTTCTTGAGACTTTTCTGTACCCTTCAATTAATGTCTTTCTTTTAATTCCACAAAATAGCCACGGTCAGATACCTTGCTCTGATCATTTAATTTGGATTTGGCTGAGAGCACTACCATTAATTATAGAAAAACGTATATTAAGGAAAAGCTCGATCGAAAGAAAATCCTAAAGAAGCCACGAATTAAACTTCCATATTTTGTTTCTGTAATTCTGCAGGTGATTAAAGACATCCACTTGTTTGGAATGATCTTCGTATTCCTGTTTGTCGACATAGTTATCATCATTATTTGGTCGGCAGTGGATCCTTTGCGAAAGGATAAGAAATATCTTGAAGACAAGGTAGGTATTTCTTGATTTCTGCAAGAGAGAATGAAACTGAGAGACTTAATATCGCATATGGGCATTTAATTCCAAGGATAACCCCCCTTCTAGTTATTTCAAAACTTATTAATATCGAATTTCTCGGGAATAGTGGAATAACGCTCTTGGGGTTTCGAAATCGAAGTTAATGAGAATCGAACAATTTTCAATTGAAAATTAGCAGGGTAACCTGGGATTGTTTTGGTTTTGCTTTTCTTCGCTGTGTGATTGGTCCAGAAAACTTGATCCAGTCTCTTGACCGCGAGTTAGTCAAGACTAGCATAGAACAAAATGAATCTGGAAATCAAACAGAGCATTTTTCCCTGGCTGAATTCCACTTTTCATGATTAAGTACATAACCACTTCCTTATTAGTGCAATAATTCAGGAGCCACCATTATTTTTCTCCTCACAACTTTCCGTCAAAATAGGCAGTTCATGAGCAAAATGCAGACGTCATTGACAGGCCTATGGTTTACTACTGTGCAATGAACAGAACTGTTATTTGGTTGCTTTTGGTGTATGGTTTCAAAGGAATTCTACTCATCTTCGGGTCATTTTTAGCGTGGGAGACTCGTAAAGTCAAGATAGCTGCGCTGAATGACTCGCATCATATAGGTCAGTTGGTACCAACATTTTACTGCAATTAGTATTTTAGGGACATTGTGCTCCACCCTTCGCATCTTAACGTCAGTATGCATATTCTCCATACTGTTTTCTACACTTTCTAAAGTGTTGACAAGGAGAATCAGTTTTACAATCAGGAACCTCTCTAGTTGGTGATCGCTTCCTTTGTTCTCGCGACCTTAATGTGTGATTCAGGGGTAGAATGTAGGCAGAAATTAGACGTTGAAAGGTTAAAGTGTAGAACTCTTTCCTACAATGATGTGTTGAATAGAACGACGAAAGAGTATTGTTCTTTAGCTGTGTAATAATGTACGTGCCGTATTTTAGAAAGGTGAACTGAATATGTAAAGATTAAAAAAGTAATGAACACTTCTTAAGCGGTAGTGAAAATGAATCCTGAAAAAAATTCAGGCCTGTAGGGGAGTCGAACCCATGACCTTTGCGTTATCAGTGCAGTGTTTTACCAACTGAGTTAACGAGCTAACGAGCTAACTGAGAGCTAGTCATATTGTTGGTTCGAAATAAACTCCTTAAGTAAAAAAATGAACGACTACGAATATACGAATATCATATATATCAGAAGTGCGGAATATTAAATGAAGATGAGAATGATCTTCTCAATAATGAACACAACTTAAGTAGTAGCATTATGTTAAATTTTTTGTTTTTATTTCTCACAGGCATGGCTGTGTACAACGTGTTTATTGTTTGTACGATAGGAGTTCCTTTGGCAATTTACAGCGACAAGCAGGCCTATGAATTCTCTTTTTACGTTATAACAATTTCAATCTTCTTTTGTACCACTTTGACGTTATGCCTCGTCTTTGTGCCAAAGGTTTGTATCAAATATCTTTTTGGCTTCCTCTGTCTTTTCTGGATGCTACTGTATCAAGGTCTCTTAATTCATATTGTGCGGATAACTAGAAGTATTTACCAACATTATGATCGTATTTACTCCACGCGCCATGGTTGAGGAGACAAAAAAAAATATATGTATATATATACATTGTTCCCAAATTTGCATTATATACTATCATAAAATTTGAAGAGTCGTAACATAAGACATTTTTAATGGATCTTTAAATATCGTTAATGTTGCCTTCTAACTTGGTTCGCTTGTATGACCCAAGGGTCTTTAATGGTGTGACAATTGAAATCAAACTATGCAAACACACTATTATGATATTAATACCCTAAAGAATGAATAGATAGTAAAGACGTTATTGTGTTTTAGGTTCTTTTTATCCGTCGCACTAATGAGAACTTCCTGATAAGCACCATTCTCATCTTTATATTTAAGCTCCGAAACAACTGATGAAGTAAATAAAGTAACTGAGTGTTTAAAATAGGCTCTCAATGGGGCTAACCTTTAGCCGCAAAACAGCCAAAAAAATTGAAAAATTTAACCGTTAACCGTAAAAGGTAACACCCCAGTGAGACCCCCATAAAAGTAAATTATAAGTTTAGACCGGCGATATTTCATGATTTGGTACGATTTTTTGGCACTCTTTGTTTGCAGATAAGGATAATGAAGAAAGGAAATTGTGAAGATGCAATTGAAAGATTCCCAACAAATGGCATAAAATACGAAACCAAAAACCTAAATAATTTTCGTGAAAGTTTGAATAGTGCGGAACTTCAAAAGGAGGTTAAACGACTCCGAGAATTGATAGCAAAGGTGAGTAATGGCCTTTGATTTCTGTAACAAACTTGAGATAAACGAATGTGAATATACGAAAGTCATATATTTGAACTGCGGATAAAGACGTGAATATGAAAGTGATCTACGCAGTAAGGAACACTACTTGAGCAGTAGTGAAAATAAGGCCTGAAAAAAAATTTAGGCCTGTACGGGATTTGAACCCATGACCCCTGTGATACCGGTGCAGCGCTCTACCAACTGAGCTAACAAGCCAACCAGGAGCTGGTCATGGTTTTGGTACCAAATAAACCCGTGAAGGGGTGAATAAACGAATGTGAATATATGGAAGTCATATATTTCATATTCACGTCTTTATCCGCAGTTCAAATATATGACTTTCCTAATATTCTTAAAGTAGGCGAAATTCATTTTACAGCAACCACCAGAGCCGTGTTGAAAATACCAACCAGCTGTTTGTATGACCGAATTGAAGAAAATTTTATTGTTTTAGCTTATGTTTTCCACTCACACTTTGCTATTTGATCATTATCTTTCGTTTCAGTCAGAGATGGAACGAGAAACGAGGGCATCAAAAGTGTCCCAGCATCTGGTTCCCCAGCCAAGTTGTATGGTCTGAAAATTATTGAACTTAATGTTGCTGTCGTCACACCAATAAATGGATGCTTCTTTAAGGTTATATCACATCAACACTAATAATTGACAATTGGTTATGATCCATTATGCATTTAACTTGAAAACTGTTTGGAGGACAGTTACACGGCTGAATGCTCCTGTACGTTTAAGACGAAAACTTTATCGCCAAGACCTTTTTAAGTCAATACAGTATAGTGCCGAGCTCCTTTAGTGCTCTAAATAGATTATGTTTAATGACTTTAAAATCGAAATATCGTCATAATAAGCGATTTTTTTTGTGACCTTTGAGCATGTGACGATGACGTTATTCAAAGGTGCTCTTGATGACCATGAAAAGAATCACAGATAGACCGTGAAAAAAAGGAAGATTTTTTTATAATTATTTACATCAGTCTTAAAGATTTCTTTTATAAGTCTGAAGTTCATTCATTTCAGGAAATTGAAGCATATGCTCATCTACATGAAAATACAATAACAATCAGTGGATCTGATTTCGTAGCCAGTGTGAGTGTGAGTAATTGTGGAAAAGTTGATCTGATTGGCCAAATGCAACCTCTTATCCCTTCATTATCACCTACATTAGGGTTTTTAAAATACAGTATTTTAAATTACAGGGGTGCTTATACTCAAAATACCTCAAAATGTCAAAATACCCTCGAGGGATTTCTTGAATCGATAAGGAAAATTGTACAGGAGAACGTGCAGTTGGTTATCCGAGGATGATTATCGAGAACTATTCACCCAAGGCTAAAGAAAGCATTTACTTCGCCGTTTGATTGCTCATTGATCTTTTGATTTTGTTTCGTAGTGACAGCAAAAGTAATTCAAAATCGACTAACAGCTGCAAGGCTGTTCTCTGTTACTATTGAAGTTTTATTTTGGTAAAATTTTTGAAAAGAAAACAAGTTAGCGTTTTAAGTTCATAATTTTTCATTTGTGTTCAGTTTTTGTCTCAGTAATGTAGTGCAAACAATGAAATAATCTACCGCGAAGAAACTTCCGCAACACGCGCCTGATTTATAATAACATTTATATGATGATTCTTTCCCTGGAAATTTTTTGGGAGATGGACTTGGCTTGTCTCGTTAAAAACCCTTCGGCGGCAACAAATGTGGTCGCTGATATTCAAGTTTTGGTCATAAACACTGTAAATGACGGGATTGATGACTTCGTTGAAAATTGCTCCGAAAAACGAAACCTCGTACAGTGTGTGCCCGTGGTGTACACTTTCAGTTCCAGACGCAATCCTCCAAATGCCCAGGAGAAACGTCGGAGACCAGCAGATAAAAAAAACGACTATGATTAAGCAGGCCGTTTTCGTCACTCGTTTCCTGCTCCGTCGAAGAGCCTTTTCCGCTATAGGTAACCTTGCCGATGGTGTACGATTAGGACGACTTCCAAATGTAACCCTGATCACGTGATAGTAACACCAGCAAATAACACAGCAAGGGGCAAAGAAAAGTAAGCCAAACTCAACAGCTTCATAAAGTTTGTCGAGCCATTGTATTGGAATGGCAGTTGGTGTGCATAGCGGAAAGTGATCTTGGAGGAAAAACGGATGATCGATAATTGTGTACATGTACAAGTACGGAGAAGACACCATAGCAGGTACAATCCATGAGGAGGCTATTAGCTGTTTGACGAGTCTGGGTTTAAGTTTGGGTAGATACGGTAGAACCAAAGAACGATATCGATCAACTGCGATCAGCGCATGTGAGATCACAGTAGTGGCAGCAGCCGAGATCTCGACATAATCGATGATCTTACAAAGGGTTTTTCCAAAAATCCATTTGCCGAACAGCTGGCGGGTAAACTCGAAAGGGCAGAACAGTACACCAACAACAAGATCCGAAAGAACCAAGTTTAGAATAAACTGATATGTTGGACGATTTCTGAGCAATATTTTCCAACGTTTGATCAAAACGTACGCAATGATAACATTGCCTGTAATGGAAAGAACCATTCCCACTCCTATAACTGTAGCCATGGTGATGTTAGCAGCCGTGTTTGCTGCCATCACGGTTATATAAATTTAGCGGTGGTTGTTGAAGTAAACAAAACTCATGCCTATTAAAAATACATATGAATAAACTGGCAAGTTTTTTTTTACAGCTACGCGCAGTGGAAATTTGGTTCCACTAGCATGCAGGTGTAGTGATGGACTGAATTGGTTTCCCAAATGACTTGAGTATCATTAACATCCTATTCGATCATAAACAATCTATTGGACTGAGTAATCCAGCAAAGCCTGATGTTTCCAAAAGAACAACAGGCGGCATGCTTTTAATTTTCCTTCATTTTTAAAGGCGTTAATGAGAGGATTTTATGGTGACAAGAGCTCCTTTGAGCGCATAAGCTCTTTAACCTTGCTCGTTGCGTCAGAAGAGGTCATATCCTTCTTGAAGAAATAAGAAAGCAGAATATATAGAAAATTCAAAAGTATAATAAATGAAAAATATTGTTACACGGGTTGATGATGTCGAGTGGAATCTTCCCTTTTTACCTTGGGAAAAAATTAGCTAAATTTCGAGGTTGTACTCCATCAAAGCAAATTGAGGCTCGCTTGAAGCCAACTGAAAAAAAGGCTTTTAAGTCTCCACTTAGAATTATTCATTAATGCAAGAAAACAATGTAAATTTCAACTATTATTGTTTGGCTTAAACTGAGTTGATTTGCTTTATAAGTAAAGAGTCAAGGACGCTACAGGAAAAAAAAATCGTCGAGGGGAATTAACCATAAAAAATTTAAAAATTCAGACTGAAGAGAGTTTACTAGAATCACTTTTAACATAAAAATATTTCGCTTTGTGGGGCTTAATTGTTAATGGAGGATTAACACATGCATCCAGTATATGTTTCTCTTTAAAAAATTCATGATCGCTTCTTTGATTTGACAATCTCATTTACTCAGTCAAAAAAAAAATGGAATATTTAACTCATAGTCATAACAGAAACAACACTTTAGGCCTCGAGCATTTTCCATGGTTTCGCCGACTACGTAATTCTATCCATTGAATTCACTTTCCTTTCGGGTAAGATAACAGTTCTCTTTCGTTCAATCGAACAAAATACTTGCGGTTCTCATGGTTTCTAAGAAATTACGTCGGTGAAAAAATCTCCCTAGCTCTCATTATTTCCGGTAACTTTTGTCAGTAACTGCTTTTTAAAACTATCATATTGTCCTCATTCTATTTTTACTTGAATATAATTAATAATTTAACATCATAATGTAAGAATACCGTGGGAATTTCTCTCTACAATAACAAACAAGGCGGTGTTACAGGTTCGGCAAACTGGAAGCAACATTAAGCGGAAGTATGAAGAAAAGTCAAGATATTTAAAGGTCAAACTGAGTCTATTCGGGAACAATAATAATAATAATGATAAGTGCAAGTTAGTTTTAAAGAGAGTATAGACCTCGAGCGCCATTAAAAATGTTTCCCACGGTGGTATACCAAAGCCACGCCCCGACACGAGTTTTCGTTAATCGTCAATCATACAAAAGCGCGCCTCTACACAAGCCTACTGTGTCTTTTGGGAAAAAACACACGTGCGAAAATAGGACAAAATCATTCTGTGAAAACGATACAAAGAGCACTATAGCCCTAAATTGTTTGTCTATGCAATGAAATGCGTGCAAATGACGGGGTAGGCCAATATCCTTTTTTTCTCGCTGATAAACATATAAAACACTGCAATTTAGGGAAGGACAACTTCTCACAAAATTCTTATCCACTCATCTTAATCGAGACCAGTATGTACCGCTTGGGAAATACCACTCTCGTTCTTCATCGCTCTCGGGTTTCACAATAGCTTAGCCTAAGCTAAATTTCAATGCACAACACGGCCTGGAGTTAGGCTCAAATTAAAAACAGTGACAAGATATTTTCCTGTTAGTCTTCTATTACTATCTTGATGTAAACACCACACTCTGTCGACAAATTACAAACTGTACTGTCTATATATTCAGTTTCATAAGGGTCAACGAGGAACGAGACAGATAGAAGATGTTTTTTTCTCTGCGGTTGATGTAAACACAAAACACCCCTTTACCACCATATTTTTATTCTTTTTTATTCGTAAATAAATCGTTATTTTTTTTTAACAAATATGTATGTGAAAATCATAAATTATGGTTTTAATGAACATATCCTTGCAATAAATCGGTCAAGTCGTTTAACAGTGTAACGGACCGGTTACAGTAAAGTATACTGAGCAATTATAAAGGATAGCTGAAAACGTTTCCCCTTAAACGATATTTGCATGTATTCTAATTCATTTTCGAACGAGGATCCCTGGTGTCTCTGAAACTGAGCCCTTGATTTCGAGTGGTTTTAGCCAGACTTTCATTGGTCTGACTAAATCCTGTAGCCTCTAGCAAGGGATCTCTGCAAAGGAAGCGAGGGCTAATTCTCGCTTTTAAACTCCTATCGAACGCACAGTAAATAACGGGGTTTATCGCTTCGTTAATAAATGCACCAAACATTGCGATTTTGTGAAGAACGTGTCCCCGGTGAATACTATCCGTTCCCGACACAATCCGAAACCAGCCTAGAACCAGTGTTGGAAGCCAGCATACCACGAATACTGCAGCAACTAAACAGGAAGTTCTCGTGACGCGCCTCTTGGTGCTGGAAATAACCGAATATTGCGAAGCGGAGAAATTCTCTGCCATTACAGTAGGGCTTCTTCCCCAGATGGTAAGTATCACGCGAAAATAGCACCAACACAACACCATAAATGGCAAGAGGAAAACGACAAGGAATGATAATGCTCCGTACAGTTTATCTAACCAGCTAAATGGAATAGCTTTTGGCGTACAAATTGTCTTGGAACTGATAACTTGAACCTCAAACATGTACAGATAAGGTGTCTCTACAACGGCAGGGACCACCCATGACAGCGCTATCATTTTTGTGACGAGTTTGCTTTCCATTCGGGGTGAATAAGGACGGGCCAGGCTGCGATATCGATCATAAGCAATCAAGGCGTGAGTAAAAACTGCGGTACAAGAAACAGCAATTTCAATGTACTCGATGAGTTTACAAGGCGCTGTTCCAAAGATCCACTCATCTAGGAGCTCGCGGGTGAATTCAAAAGGCATCGTTAGAAGGCCAACGAGGAGATCTGAAAGCACTATATTTAGAATAAACTGATACGTTGGACGATTTTTAAGAAGAGCTCTCCTGTTCTTCACGAGAACGTAAGCTACTAAAGCGTTACCTAGCACAGTCACGACATATATGACAGCTAGGAAAGCAGCTTTAGAGATATCTGAAGCTGAAAACGCCATTTTTATGCCCCTTCAGAACGACAACCTCAGTTTCTGTCTTGACCCTGACGTTCAATTTGATAAACTTCGGCCGAAATGAATCTTCAGATGCACCTGCTTAGTGTAAACATGTCCGTTGAGTTTCCTTGTACTGTAATTTGTTTTTAAGGAACCTCTATTAGGCAGAAGAAAAGAAAAACCCCGTATATTCTGGAATGTAATTTTCCAATGTAGCATTTAATGTGGCCATTCATGTTACATGTGGATAACAACTAAAGACCGCGTATGTCCTTCGGAAATGAAACTTAATCAACGTAGTCTGAAGTAATTAGTGTCGCTGATTGGAAACCGCGTTAATTTCTGACGGTTTTCATGTATTATTGTTTAACCAACGAGTAATTAAAATGATGGAAATTGCTTTTGGTTTATTTAAGTCTCAAAATCGTCACATCGCTCAGTTAATTTGACTCAATTCGTTGACACTTTTTATAGATGAATTCTTACGGATTCTTTGTCGCAGCTAAAAATGAAAGTTGTAACGAAAACTGCTGTAGAATCCAGCCTGGTTTCATTCATAATGCGGTTCATCAGGCTACGGGAATAACTCTGAATTAGTAATAGTCTCAGGTTCATGTTTATGATTCCAAAAAATTATCGCTTTTCTGTTTTTACGTCATTATTGATAATAAGATGCAATGCGTTCATGTATTTTTCTAGAAAGGCACCCTACTGACGCTACCATAGAACTTAGCCTTCGCTGTTCTTGGTCTCAGTCAGAAGTAGGAGAATACAACAGAAACGAAAAAAGAAATAACCATACATACGACAAGAGAGAAAAAAAATCCATAATAAAAAAAGATAAAGTAATAAGTAAAAACAAGAAAGGTTATTTTTAAGAAAAGAGCAACAAAATCACTTCAAAAGCAAAGAAAAATTGTGTGCGATTTAAATTTTTATGTGTACAAGATTAACTTGCAAGTGTGGAGCCGCCCTTAGGAAGTTAACTGAGAAATTTTTATTGGTGAAGGCGGTAGAAAGGAAGTGATTTCATCACAGTGATATTTACTCCCGTCAAACATTTAGGCCTTAAATAATTCTCATCGTCGGAACAGTGGCGGTTGTCTGCTTAAAGGTTAAGAGCTGTGTCAATGGAGTCCCGCTGTGCATGTGCTCGTATTTCGTTTGCAAGCAGTGTTTTCATTGGCTCGATGAACTCCATTTTCTCGAGTGCGGTCTTCGAGGGAGGAGCGCGGGCTCGCTTTCCGAACAGCTGCTGATAATCGCACTAATGTCTCCCGAGCCAATGTCTTCCGAGAAAAGATCTTCAAGCCTAGTTTATAGAGCCGTCCACTCTTTACAGATGGCATTGAAGCTTTTTTGAAAGCAATTTGATCGATTGGCGCCCGGCCAAAAAGAGAACCTCTAATCAAACTGAGGAGATATCGAGAGTTAAACTTGGGAACAAAGTTGAGAAAAATAGAATCAGATTGTTGTTGACTATAATGAGGTGGTAGAAAAGACAACAGCAGGGGAATTGAATAAAAATCATCAACGCTCTTGTTTGCTATTCAATATTCATCTTCTTTCAAACATATTGAAATTTCCCGGGGCAGAAACTTATGCTTCTGTCAAAAATTATAGTATCTACGTATTCAATACTTCACAACTGTCTTGTTTTATAATTCAATATTCTTTTGGAAAAGAAATTTGAATTTATATAAATATTCATTATTCTTCTTTCACAGC